TTATTAGTCCCACAGAGGGGACATTTGCATCGTTACAGCAGGAAAGAGACACAGACAGCTTAATGTTACATATGTTAAAAAAAAGTTTTGATATAAGAAAAAATATAAGAAAAAAAAAAGAAAAGTAAAACAAATACAGTTCTTATGATTTAGCAGCCAGGTATATATTACACAGTTATTAATGGCATATGTATATAATGTATATAGTGCACATATTGCACATAGTTTGATGGTATTTAACAGCAGCAAGTTACACAATTTACAAAATACAAAATGCAAATAACCAGCGTCGTAGGACCGCTTAGCGAGATCTCGTTTGTTAGGGTTAGTTAAGCCAGATAACTCAAACATATCCAGGGTCTGTTGAACTGTCTTCGTCGTACAGGCCACTGATCGATCAGGCTAAGCTAACCTCTGCTCCCTCCACCCTCACAACAACTTCATACAGACAGAAATAAAGCAGCGACTATATTCGCCATACAGGAAACATACATTTAAAACGGTTTTGCCTGCCGTCTTGTGTACACAAGCATCAATTAATGGTTCGGAAAGTGGCACTGTACCTTAATAATATAAAAGATTGTATTTGCGTGCATTTTCTGTTCGGAAAGTGGCGCTGTACTGAGAGTGGCACATTTATTTTGTAATTCTTAGCGTGCACTTCCTGTCCTGAGAGTGGCAGTGTCCTCGGAATGGAGGTGTCCTGAGATTGGCGCCTGAAGGCAGGCTCCCGTGTTCTTTTTGGGGCTTTTTTGTAACCCCACTACCCAGTAAAAACTTAAGTACTCATATGTGTGTGCTCTACATTAACAAAGTGGATGTAAAGGTCACTGATCCCTCAGGATGGCAGTTGACTATATTTGAGCAGATTAACTAAAGGTTATGAGATGTTATACTGCTGGAGCTGGAAAATAAGTGTTCTGGCAGCCTGCGTCTCAGGAGCTTATGGAAAATACAAGAAAACAAGTCTTTGATTTTAATTTATCAAACTTTAACATTTACAATGTGTCAATGCTGTCGGAAAACCATTAGTCTTATCGAAATGTATTATTTTCAGCTCTCAAAAGCCAAGCAAACGTCATCTCGGGTAAGAAGAAGCTAAACTGTGCTGTGATTTGTGTGTGACTGCTATAACTCAAAGCCTAGTTACAGACATTAGTACGCGTTCCCTTGTCCTGAATGAAGACAGCAGTTGAGGCTGAAAGTCAACTAAAAGTGTCAACTATAACAAGAGACTACTACTATATTTTCCCAGTGTGATTGGACAAATGTGATTACTAGTGTTTTAGAAATCTAAAAGGACCAATTCATATATTTATTTTTCTACTCTTTGGGACCACTACAACTTTCATCCAAAATATAGAATTTGTATTTATGTCATATTTGATGCAGGGCTGTGAAAACTGTAGTTGGATATTGAGCTCTTGCATCATGAGGTATTTTTGCAGGTTTTATTCTGACTTCAAGCGAGGGGGAAATGTCAGTCATGGCATCTAGACCGCCTCAAACAGACTTCCACGTAACTTCCTTTAATCTCATTCTGTTCATCAGCACAATGTAAAAGCAGAAGAGCAAACTTTAACCATCAGCTGTCTGCAGCCTCCCACACTTCACATCCTGCCAACTCTGGTAACAAAGTAAACCCTTCTTTGGCCATTGTGATTATAGCTGGTATTACTCTGCAGATTCCCGACAGCACTTGAAAGCAACACAAATCCTTCTATGTCCAGTAAGCCTGTGGGGGGGAGGAGGAGGGGAAAGGTCACCGAGACAATCTCCCATCTTGAGGAAGTGAAGTCCATCCATCTGTCCGCCGCAGTGTCTTCTCTGAGTTTTATATTTGTTTTTTCATCCTCTCTCAGTCCACACACACACACACACACACACACACACACACACACACACACACACACACACACACACACACACACACACACACACACACACACACACACACACACACACACACACACACACACACACACACACACACACACACACACACACACACACACACACACACACACACATACACACACACACACACACACACACACAGTGTCTGCTCCTCCTCACCTCCACAAACACTTCCCTCCACCTTCAGTTCTGCACCGTCACACAACAATTAAAGTCTCTCGTTAACAGCTGCTACAGATTAACCGAGTATCACTTCTGAATGGAGTGTTTTCCAGAGACTAATCCTCTGCAATCCCCCCTTTAAAACGGCGGGAACATGATAAAACAGACACCACTTCATCCATGTGTGTCTCTGCACACCATGGGCAGTTATGGGCGGGGGGGGGGGCTGGGCAACGTGATTTTCATTTGAATAACTTGTAACAATGACCTTTCCATTCCTGTGGCACCCCTCCAAAATAAAAGCTTATAATTATAATACAATTGTAGGTAGCATTGTGCTGTAACTAGCTAAAGTTAGCTGGAATGCTTTTTGATTTTCATAATGTCATTTAATACAATTTGAACTACTAAAACAAATGCTGTTACTAAAGAAAATCACAAATGATGGTATTTTATGTTTATTTCGTGCGCTATGACAGAACTAAACATTTTAAAATGTTAAACACTGTCTTTGTCTCTTTTGTCCCGCATTAAATGTGCCTCTCTAATAAAACAACTACTACTGCAATACTATATACAATACAGTACAAGTGTTTGTCTACAGCTTTAAAATAAAAACCTCTGCACCAATTGAAAATCTGCTCAAAGATTGTAGCTCAACCCTGTGAGAGACTTTATGAATCACCATGACAACCTAATGAGGCGTCCATCATCATCATCATCATCTCTGACCCCTCCATGTTCTGAACAGTGAATATGAATTGTTACCATCTGATACACAGATACAGGGTCCCAGGGTTCAATAAAGTCACACTGAAGCTCTCCTTTGTGCACCAGTCAGTCCCAACATTAAATACAGAGCTTAATCCCAGGTCTAATGTACGACAGAGGGTCTTTGAGCAAGTTTCTCTTCAGTCATCCTGATGCTATCTTCAATGTTTCCTTGTATCGAGTCTTAAAGGGGACCTATCATGCAAAATGCACTTTTTGATGTCTTTTATACATAAACATGTGTCCCCGGTGTGTCAGGAGACTCACGCAGCGTCAGAAAATAAAACCCTCTCTCTTTTCCTCCGTATCCAAATCTCTAAAAATGGGGCTACAACGGATCTGATCCAGATTTTTTCAGTTTAAAAAAAAAGCTTTATTTTTATTATTTGTATTTAGCCTTTATTTATACAGGTGAAAATCTAATTTCAATTCAATTCAAAACCTTTATTTATCCGGGTGAAAGCCCATTGAGATCAATGATCTCTTTTTCAAGGGAGACCTGCAGCAGTAGGTTCCACATGAAGACATAAAGCGTCTTTGGGTTCAAGAAAAGCGCTATAGAAATATAATTTATTATTATTATTATTATAAAAACATAAACAACAGAACAACAAAAGGACATCATACAGCAACATTTACAGGGATCACAATGTACATATCTATCCACATGTACAGGTACCAACAGCATCTGATTTTGTAGCATCCAACCGAGCTTTAAAAACATGTAGTGGTACTAGCTTGGTAATGTTCCATTCTTTTTGCAGACTGTTCCAAGTTAGTGGAGCTGCACATCTAAAAGCTTTCTTCCCTAAGACAGTCCTAGCACTTGGCACATTTAATAAAACCACAGCATGCGATCTCAGGCAATAAGTACTTTCAATTCGCAGAGAGATCAGGGAGCAGATATAAGATGGTAGTTTATCCAACATGGCTTTGTAAATGAAAAAGTACCAGTGACTGAGCCTCCGTACAGTAAGTGATGGCATAACCGCCTTGGTATACAGGGTACAGTGATGCGTAAGTGCTTTACAATTTGTCAAAAATCTCAGTGCACTGTGATACGCAGCATCTAACTTGCTCAGGTAATTGGCAGGTGCATTCATATATAACAAATCACCATAGTCCAGCACAGGTAAAAGGTCACAGTGACTAGCCTTTTCCTGGCCTCAAGCGAGAAACAGGACTTATTTCTGTAGAAGAAACCTAGCCTAACCCTCAGCTTTTTAAGCAGGTTATTTACATGAAATTTAAAAGTGAGACAATCATCAAGCCAGATACACAGGTATTTGTAACAGGTAACCACTTCAAGTTGTATTCCTTGCGTAGTTACAATATCCAAAGCAGTCTCTGGTGTATTTTTAGCTTTAGAAAAGAGCATTACCTTGGTTTTATCAACATTTAAAAGAAGCTTTAGTTCAGAGAGCTGAGTCTGAATAATGTTAAAAACAGCCTGTAATTTAACAACAGCCTCGTTAATCGAGGGACCTGCGCAGTACAAATGTAAGGTTGCTCCTTCGACATTTTCACCTAAACTATTAATATAGATAGAGAATAATAGCGGACCTAAAACAGAACCTTGTGGTACACCATTAGTGATGTTTAACCATTCAGAAGACAGCCCATCAAATGTAACACATTGGGACCTTTCAGAGAGGTAGTTCACAAACCGCCCCACTGCATGGCTGGATAAGCACTGACTAGCTCAGTGAGACACAGGGTCTCATTCTCAAGAGAGACCTGTTTATACCCAGAATCAGCACTTTAGTAACAGGAAGAGAAATAGAGGGATATGAGGCATGGCTACTTTGGCTAGAATGGGTGATCTGTTTGTTTGTTTGACCAAAACACCTCATAGACTAAAAATAGCATGATAGGTGACCTTTAATATGTGTCTTTGTTTGATATTGCAATGGAGCTGCTGTGATGCAAGTCACATTTCACACTTGATCAGATAATTAAAGTATTATCGTATCATACCGTTACTGCCCCCCCCCCCCCCCACACCCCCCCCTACCACTAAAATCGGTCTAGTCCCGCCACTGCTGCACACAGCAAACACTGCAATTACAAAAACCTGCAGGCAGAAACTGAAGTTGGAGGAGAGAATAGAGAAGGACAGAAAAGCTCTGACAGGAGAAACATTGACTCACCTGAGGAAAACGGTCTCTCCCTGCCGGACCGTGATGTTGTCCATCACTTTGTTGTCGGACTGAGAGTCCCCTTGGCTGTGGACCGGCAACCCTGCAGGCACAAGAAGCAACATCCTCAGAGAAAGAAGAAATGTGCGTTTGGAAAGAGCGAAAAAGTATCCCCGGACAGACATCGTCTCCAGTCAAAAGGTATATAATAAAATCCCTCAGCGAGACAATGAGTCAGTGCGCACCGCGCGCTCCTGCAGATTACTCAATCCGGTTCATTAGTCCTAATCCCGGGGTGCTGTGCAGGTTCCCGCGGTGTGCCGGGAGGAGAGACCCTGTCACTGCATGGCCAAACACACACTCTTTACTGTGCGCGTTTATAAGAAAGAATAAATAATAGACCCCTCCTTTCTGACGGTCCCGCGCGGCTGCCTGATATTTTACCAAGTTCTATGAAGTCATAGACAACAAGCTACAAGCACACAGTGTTTCGCATTTAAAAACTGCAGCCTGAATATGGAACAACACAAATCCGCTAGTGATATTCAGAGGAGAAGAGAGGTGTCAGCCTGTTAGCAGTTATGTCTGGAGGAGCGCTTCCCGTCTGTGACCTCACAGAGGACAGGTGGAGATGGTGAGAGCACAATGAAATCACACATGCACCCCCATGAGAGAAAACAACATTAGATTTATACCGTAGGACTTTACAGAGTTTAGTGGATTATTGGATGTTTAACCGCCTGCTTCGGGTACCTAAACATGAATTGGATAATTATTGGTGAACATTGACTTTGTATCTCGTAATTTGAATTATATTCATAGACTAAAAGCCCCCTGGTGTTGTTGACCATTGTTTTATATCATAAACACATCCGTAGACTTATTACTGCAGATATGAAATGGCCTAGAAGCACTGCCTCTATCTCCATGTTATTTTCATCAATTATCAATCCAAATAAAAAACATCAAACATTTGAAAAGCTGAAAACAGCTATTAGCATTTTTTGCCAAACACATGATTTGACCATAAAATATAAATGGTTGCTGACTCATTTTTGTTGATGAACTGAGTGATCGACTGATTATTGCAGCTTTAATTCACTAGGTCAACTGCTTTTCAACATAGACAAACGTCATTTTTGTAAAACAAAATAAAAAAGAAGATTATTATAGTCACATGTTTTTTCTTGTACAAGTGAAAAGTGAAACTAATAATAAGTAATTGAACACATCCTTGCTAAACGTATTCAAATAAGGCTTGTAGCCTTGCTCGGTCTGGGAGGGACAGTACATTTTGGTGACTTTAAAGAAAAACACATTCATCCAACCTCCAAGTAGCTGCTGGTCTGCATTAGGATGCATCTTTATATTGCAATAAAGAATTGTTTCAATGCCATTTTAGGACAATGACAATACGAGATTACGACACTATCACATAAGCACTGTAATAATTCCGTTCAGCCAAATCACAATCCTTTCCTATACATAACCTAGTAGTTATTCTCCCCAATTTAACCAAGTATTCCACACAGTCATTTTAACCAAAACCACATATTTTCCTTAACCTAACCAAGTATTGTGTTGCCTAAACCTTACCAACCAACCTTCTAAGAAGTGTATTTAGAAAAATGCTTTAACGTATGTGTTGTGGACATTTAACACTCACAACAGGAAAGAATGAAACAGAGAGGGATCAATAAAACACAGGTATAGTTGATCAATTATTATTTCGTTGTACAACAATCAATAATAATGAGGAAAACATTACCTCTGCTCTCAAGCAGTCCTACAGCAATGCTCCCTAGACCAGAAATATCTCATGTGCTTTATACATGTAAAACACACACGAACATACACTTGAAACAGCATACGTGGCAGAGATGTTCAAACCTTATACAGTCATACATGTTGCATCCTCTGAGTTCTACATGATCCCAGATGTCATGACCTTATTTAGCAGCTACCACACATGCCAATGTATACAACAGCTGGTGAAAAGTTTCAGCTGATTGCCTATAGATGGGCCTCCTTCCAGTAAACCAAATGAACAACACACCGTCCACTATACTGTAGCTTATACCACGTGACATTAATGAATACAGAAATACACTGCAATAAACATTCTGCTATAACATATGTATATTAGTTGACACGTGTAGGAAAATGCAAAAACATTAGGCTAAATAATACATAATCTGCACTAGTTTATTCTACTCTATTCTCTGTTTCTTCTTGCACTATTTGCATTTTGTTTTTATTTTTAGTATAGTTTTACATATCTACACTGTAGCTACTGTGCATACAAAAATACTTTGAATCTTTGGAACTTTTGAATAGAAAATCAAACCGTTTTTCATGGTGACATTGACACTTATTATTGTCACATACACTTCTCTAAAGATTCTACTAGAATCTTTGAACTGGTTTATGTAATGTTGATGCCTGACCTCCATGAGACAGATCCTGCTCACTGACAGGATGAGAGATGAGCAGCCCAGCAGAGCTCCACCTTCAACACCTCGCTGTGGAGGGCCGGCTCATATGTTTATGTCATGGCCTCTTAATGGAAAATCATATTTTATTCAAATGAAAATTCTGTTTATGTAATCTTTCAGAAATGTTTTATTATCTTCAGAAATATTCTGTAGTAATATGGACTGGTTTTCCTGATATTATAACTAACATTACATGCCAAGTATGCACGTTTGAGTTGTCTTGTGTTTATGTCCATGCACCAACAAATAACATGACTGTATGTACACACATGTCAAACAGAGTTGTGCGGACAGGTGCCCTGTATGCAAATGTCAAATATGATTTACAGAACTGCTGAAGCTTAGAAGAAGAATCGGAGGATGAAACCCTCTTTATTGGTCACACATACCTGCACACAGCACACACAGTGACATTTGTTCTCTGCTTTTTACCCATCCTAGTACTAGGAGCTTGTTTCAGGGACTATATAACAAAACTGACTTTACCGAGGGAGTTTTCTGATTCCTGTACATAACACATTTTAGCACCTAACATCCTCCTCATGCCTGGAGTGACCTCAGTGGCAGCTGTTTAGTGCTACATGTCTTACACTAATTGTTCTTTTTAATTGCTTTTTTTCATGGATAATTGTTTGGCAGGTGTGTTTGAAATGCACGGGTGTAACTTCAAAAATAAAAGATGGATGAATTCCATTTAGCGGCTTCAGTTTCACCTGTGCCTTTCCTACTATGACAAATCAAGAAGCCTGTTTGGGGGAAAGGCATATGTTGACATTGTTCATTCTTCCAAAAGAAGTTGAGTCATGTTTAAACAGGTTCCCTGAATGCATAGCTCAGTGTTCGTCAGTGTTTGTTTCTGAAAATAACAAAAATGCTTATATGTTGAAGACCTCAGAAAAAATAATAATGTGTATTCTTAGGGTATGTGAGTTATGCATGCTACTATACGTAGATGAGCACTGAGTCAAAACTGATAAATGAATTTCTTATAAAATAAACATACAGTAAGTTAAAGTGTTAATTACTTTAAGGTAAGTGAATTGAAGCAGTCATTACTTTCAGAGGCTCTGTGAAAGAACATAACCCAAGATGTTTCTCTGAAATTAGAATAAACAGCCTATTAATACCAGCACACAATAACATGTAATGTCATTGTCACTAAAGCATTGGCACACTTTCTGGACAGAGACAACTTTTCTTGAGACAAACAAGTATATAGGTATACTATATTGACCAAAGGTGTTATTTGGAGAGGGTCGGAGTCCGACCCTTGTCAATTAACTATGGGGGTCCCTCAGGGCTCTGTTCTTGGTCCCCTCCTCTTCTCCTTGTACACAAACTCGCTCGGATCAGTCATTAGCCCGCATGGTTTTTCATACCACTGCTATGCTGACGACACCCAATTAATTCTGTCCTTTCCCCGCTCAGAGACCCAGGCCGTCGCACACATCTCTCAGTGGATGTCTGCTCATCACCTCAAGCTCAACCTTGACAAGACTGAACTGCTTTTACTTCCGGGAAAAGATTGTCCCACTCTTGACCTAACAATCAACATCGGCACCTCTGTTGTTTCCACGACTCAGACTGCAAGGAATCTGGGTGTGACCCTAGATAACAAACTCTCCTTCACTGCAAACATCGTTGCTACAACCCGCTGCTGCAGATACACGCTTTACAACATCAACCAAACAGCTCGCTGCACCATACTGCGAGGGGGACCCAAGTTCCCATCAGCAGAAACACGTGGGTTTGCTATCCTGGCTCCAAAATGGTGGAATGAGCTCCCCATTGACATCAGGACAGCAGATAGCTTACACACCTTCCGGCAGAGACTGAAAATTCATCTCTTTCGACTCCACTTCGAGCGATAGAACTATTAACAAAACACTTGTATACTAATAAAGGGCTGGCTTATCTAAAGCCAGTTGAGTAGCACTTGAAATGTTTTTGCTCTATGAAACCTGATGTACTTATATGATTCTGTTTTCTTCAAGGTTGTATTTTGTTGGTCGAACGCACTTATTGTAAGTCGCTCTGGATAAAAGCGTCAGCTAAATGCAATGTAATGTAATGTGTTAGTAGAAATATGTATTTAATGTTCCCTAATGACCTTTCCTTGTCATAATTGCTCCAGATGATGCATTCTACATCCATTCAGAATGGAAATGAGATACTTTAAATCACCTGTTACAGAGGTGATGTTTGTATTGTTGACTGATAGTAAGGTGATATATAAAAGTGTGGAAGGGTGGAAATACTGCCTCTCTAATAATCACCAAAATCCATGCTCGATTGCTTTAGCCTAATTGTTGTAGGAGCTCTGTCTGTCAGCAGCATCAGAGCCCTGTCCTCTGTTCCCATTAAAGACATGACATGATTACCCTGCTGAGAAAAGTCAGCATGCAATTATTCAGCCCTGTGATCACAACAGCTAGTGCTTTCACTCCTTTATTTCCAGCAGTCCCCAGTGCCTTTCAGTACCCAGCATTTGCCTCTCAGCACTTTTACCTCAGTGTGTCACACTGTAGAGCACAGGTAATGAAGTCATACAAATGTAAATCACAACAGCCGCAATCAAAAAAAAAATTATTGGTGAACATGCCATTTTAAATGCTCTAGAGTTTTTATTATTTGACTGTTTTTAAAATCTAAAATAATGTATGATTCCTAATCTTCTGGTTGAGGTCTCCACTCAGTGGAAATGATTATACGTTTTAATTTGTTTGATTCCCAAGGTCAACTGCAGACTCACAACGTGAACACATTTCATCGTCATTCAGTTTATTGGGCTATGTCATATCATTTGCCCACTTGGGGGATTAATAAAGGTTCATCTTCTTCTTCTTC